GGAGATGTCGTTGATCGATGGCTTCAAGTCTATTCAGTACATTTGCTTATTTAACTGTAACTTTGTGTTTTCAGATCACAGCCTTTGCGACTGGTTTATTACAGATAAACAAAGATCGACATTATCAGTGAGACAACTCTATCAGCGTATATCTTTCCAGGTGCCTAAAACGCATGTAAAAATGTGTCATTTAATGGGAGACATCTGTAACTTGGGGGCCTTCTCGAGTTGAGCGGGGATAGTATCTCACAACTTATATCTAAGTCAAACCTCGTGTTAATGCGTAACAGTGGTTACTCTTCCGTTGCATCTAGGTATTGTAACTACCTTGATGATCGTATAGGAAGAGCATACCAATATTGCAGAATTATGTTATTAAGAATAAGCGGAAGGAAAGGATTGCTACCACTGATATCTGGGCCTGTTCATGGTGTGCCACTGGTCTGTGCGCGTCACTTGTCATTGGTGAGGGTCGGGAGATTGTTTGACATCCAGTGACGTGACTGCAGGGTGATTTGGCTGTGGTTTACTGATATTTCATATTTGAATACTATAATTTTTCTCATTCAAGTGTATGAATTTACTTTAAATGACCGTCCGCTTATTTGTAAACCTAATGAATGTTGGATTGAAAAAACCCTTTATAGTTCGTGAAATAGCATAACACCCTTCATATTGATCCAAGTTTAAAAGAACCTGTTAACAATGTATGAAAGTCGAGCTAGAGTATTTAATGAAATCAAATGTTTTACGCATACCTCTGCTAAAACTGCTTCAGTGGCGTAAACATCTATACAGGGATAAGGCTGGAAGAAACAAGTTAGAAGCCTGAAATATTTCACGGTTAGTATGTGTTCCAGAAATAGCTTCAAGATGATCTTCATTACTATAAATAAGATGGATTAAATATATTACGGACAGCTGCCAAGCTTGCTTGTGGCTTATGTAGGATTGATGAAATTGTCAGAAAACTAGTTAACTATCTGCAAGTGGCCACAAGAAAAGCAGCCTTTGTGCTCGCCTGATTCTCCATGATTTAACATGCATTATTTCATGAATTGCTAGTTCATATAATAATCCGAATACATCTAGTTATCACATTGGCGTTGCGATGGAGACTGTAATGGAACAACTGGACATACACCCAAATTTCGAAGATTACAAGGAACAGTTCGAAGTTTGCAGTTTGACCAGGAAATATGTGAAGGATGATAAAATTGTCGCTCATTTCCTCACATTCATTGGAAAGGATACCTGCTGTTTATTAAAAGCTTTGGCACTTCAAGAAAAGCCTATTTCACTTTCTTATGCAACTGTCAAGGAACTGCTATTAAACCATGTAAAGTGTACTGGTTTCGAATGTCTTGAAGGAGCGAAATTCCATATGATGATTCGTCACAACATCCAAAAGGTCAGGGAATTTATCCTTGGGTTACAAAACAAGCTGCCAGATGCATATATCATCCTTATTTACAGAGTCCAATAATTCACTTCATATTCAAAAACGATTGTATCTGTCCAGTGGTGCTTTTCATGATTTTATTGTTTACACTGGCATTATCAAGTTCATCATTTTGACTGGTAAGTTGAAGTTAAATCCTAATGCTATAAATAATACCCACCAAAGTTTCCATTTAAAGTACTACTGGCCGAAAACTTTCTATTCTGGGATGTTGTAATCTTTCAATCAGAAATGATAAATTTTCACATGTAAATCTTGAATTTCTCATTACTGAGCGTGAACCATCTATATTAGGCCTACAAAATTTAAGAATGCTTCAGGTTCAGCTTTCCTTATTGACCACTGAGAATGGCTATAATGGTGTGCTTGGTAACATGCGAATTATGGGACCAAATGGGCAAAACAGGTCAATAAGTCTGTGGTCCACATGCGAGATGCTCACTATCCCCGAATTCATTACAATGGTCCAGATGAGCCCTTTCCCATTTCAGTTGTTAAGGCTTTTAGTAATGAGCATGTTCTAGACCAGACAGAGTCTGTATCTAGTAAACAGTCTGACAGACATACAATGAGCCTGAGGAGAAGACTTTCAATTGATTACAGGAACTGAGATTCCACTTTAAGCTGTGACAGTTGTGGTGTTTGTATGAACTAATGATTCTTTTGTACTTAACATATTTCTGATTTTGGATTATAAACACAATATGTTCGTTTATACTCACCTAGTTCTACAAGACCTAAATTGCGTTATTTTAGGGATTCATGTAATAATCCGAATACTTTGCAAGGCGTATGAGCCAAGTCCATTTAATCAAACGTTAGTTTATATTCATAGTCACACAAAAATAAGCTGCAGACATGTGATGAGTGGGATAAGATATACACACATATGTGCTCTTATGAAAAGTCAGGATTGATAAGTGAATAATAAACAAGGTCAAAATCTAGCTTGAGAATAATGCATAAATCGGCCTGTCCAGAAGCTAGAGTATGTTATATGGACTAAACATATTATCCGACATTGCATGATAATTAGAAGTCGGCTCACTGAATTTCGAACAGTTCGTCGATTCTCGTAATTATCCAGGGCAACCAACGCGCACTAATTGACTGCACGTTATTGACTGGCCCATGCGCTGCTGGTCTCAAGTCTTTCCTTGCACATGCTTTTACTACTATATTTCTGTAGTAACGTCTTTTGTGTATACGATCCTCAAAACAGCCTTAGTCACTTGACACGAAGAAGGAGCAATCTAAGTTAGGTGCCGACCGTGAGATGTGACTTCTAATTTAGCTGTTGGTAACACCATTCCCGTCTAACTCGAGTAAGCCTAAGCCATCTACGTTAGTGGTCCACAGTGGGTTACCCAATCGTCGTATCCGTGTACTATGGCTACCATGATGACCATACAACACAGGTGACGTTATTGCAGAAATATATTAGTAGGATAAGTACAAGGAACTGTGCGACCACCACCTGGGCCAGTTCAGTCAGTCGTACTTGACCACAACGAGGACCGGCGGACTGTTGACTTACGTAACGTGATTTGGCCAGGGACCATTGACATTTCACTGGTCCTATACAAGAATCGATAACTCGGTGTTAAAACCTGGATGCCATCTGTCTTTTTTACTTACCTGATAGGTCTTGTGAGTTCGCCTGATCTAGTAGGGAGAAAAAGGGATACATCAGGTCCAAAACCATTTCTCAGTATTATATACATCAAAACCAGATCACCTTCCAATCTGAGGTAAGACAGAATAAAGACCAGCTGATCAAAACATCTGAGTCTTCCTGAAGTGCACATGCATCTGCGTCTCCTGATATTTGTCACCAGATTCTTACATCATCAGCGTATAACATCATTGGGGATTCAACTATATACGGAGTTCATTTACATACAGTAGAACCCTTTTAGAGACTTAGGACAAAGCCTTGCATTACACCACTAAATACCGGTTTCCAGAAGTAGCATTTACGATTAATTTTCGTCTTCCTTCTACGACCTAGAAAATCCTTAATCAATTTAAGGAGAGGTCCGGCAAGGCCGAGATTTTCGATCTTCAAGAGTAGCTTACTTTTCAGCACCTTATTAAATGCTTTGTTGGAGTCTATATGGAAAACATTCACTGATTCTCCACTATCTAAAGCCCATTGCTTCCTTGCCATAGGGAGATTCGTTGTTCGAGATAAACCTTTTTTGAAACCATATTGTTCTCTGTTTAACAAGCTGTTTGTTTCCTCGAGTGCCATTATGGCTTTTTCGATTATTCTTTCTGATATTTTAACTACGACACTGGTGAGGCTGACAGGTTTGTAGTTTGATGGAAGTTGTCTTGGTCCTGTTTTGCGAATTGGAGTGACAAGTGCATCCTTTTCGTCGGTAGATAACTCACCCGTGCCAACCGATAAATCGAATATCATTGTCAGTATTGTGGCAATATATTGTGCTATTTGTGTCAAGAGTTTAGTGTATAGTTCATCTGGCTTTATTGATTTTCGATGATGTAGTAAGAGGACTAAGATTATCAGAATTATATGATATATTAGCGAAATCCATTTCGAACAATCTGATCACACATATACTTGTTAAGAACATTTATATATAAAAATAAAAGGTCAACTATACTCGAAATGGCGTAAGAGGGGTAAAGAGTAATAATAATAGTAATGATAATAATGTGGACACAATTTGAAACCTAATCACACTGATTAATAAGTCAATATTACCAGGGTAGGTTTAAGGTGAGAACAAACTGTTTTTGAATACACAAAGGGGGTTTGAATTTTTGTATGGCTAAGGCTCCAATAAACCTTAGTGCATGCCCCTTTACACTTTTATTCAACACAGAGAGAGCAGTACAAAAAATCTATTAAAGTGAGGGTAAAATCAAACATGAGACAGATTTCTGAAAGCGTTTTTAAAGCTTCAGAAGAGATAGACGCCGGAAGAAATAAGTGTAAACATGTGTTACTGTAACCGAAAATTCAACATAAATAAATTTAAACGAATCCTTCAAACCTTCGGATATAATCACCACTAAAAAGAAGGGTATCTCATCAAAACACCACGGAGATGAAGTTTGAGCGAGTTTGAAAATTACAGAGAAATCACATTACTATGAGCATTAGGAAACGTTTTTAACATTTTCGTCGAACAGGAGATGAATGACGAACATTTGAGACAACTGTGTGATTCAACAAAGAATCTAGTCGCTAAACATAGTAAACTAGACAGACTAGTCAACAACAAGGAAGTGAAGATAATCACTGAGATTCAGGAACGGTGGAATAGGTGTGTAGAGAACCTTGAATATTTCTTGAATAGATCAGACACACTGAACTCTCCACACGTCGTAGCAACACATACAGACTTTACCATAAATGTCACCCCACCAACCGTCAGAGAAGTCAGCATGACCATCAAACAGATCGAGTGTGGGAGAGTAGGAAGACCAGACAGCATACTAGCTGACGCACTGAAGTCAGACAGAGAATTAATTGCAAAGGTGCTCCACATTCTATTCATAAGGATTTGGCGGGAAGAACAAGTGCCACCGACACACTGGAATGAAGGGTTATTCATCAAGATACGATGGAGAGGAGATCTGAGCAAGTGTGAGGACTACAGAGAAATCACACTGCTGTCACTATTGGAGAACGTTTTCAACAGAGTGTTGTCGAGCATGATGAGATTCAGTAGATACCCGACCTCGAGATCAACAGACTGGATTATGTAAGGATTGATCGTGTGTTGACTACTTCGAGACACAATGGATCGTCGATGGGCATTCGATTGAATGGAACTCGTAACCATAGGTCAAATTCCTTGAATATGAGAAAGCGTTTGACAGTGTGGATAAGAGAACTTAATGGAGCCGTCTCTGACACTATGGCGTACTTTGGAAAATTATCAACATCATACGGAATTCAGAAGACGGACTGAAATGCTGTGCAAAGAGGATAGCTGATAGATGCATCCCAAGTGAGGACCGGTGTCAGACAAGACTGTATACTCTTGCCTTTCCTCTTTCGTCTGATCGTTATCCGGATGACGAAGAAATCCATACCCCATGGGAAGCACGGAGTACAATGGACATCTTGGATGCAACTAGATGATTTGGAATTCATAGGTGATCAAGTTTCTCTATCTCATACACAGTAATAAATCCGAGTGAAGACAGCCAATGTAGCATCAGGCTTTACAAGAGTAGGTCTCAATATACGCAAGGAAAATAGCGAGATCCCAAAATACAATACAGAGATCGACAGCACGATCACACTTGATGGAGAAGCAATGGAAGGAGTGGAAAGTTCAATGTACCTGGACAACATAATCGATAAAGAGAGAGGACTGACGCAGATGTGAAGGCAATGATTGTCAAAGCATGGGCAGCATTCCTGCAGGGGAAGAACATATGGAACTAAAAACGAATGTCATTCAACATCAAAGTCAGAACTTTCAATGTGTGACTCTGAGACTTGGAGAATGAAAACGACAATTATCAAAACAGTACAGTTATTTATAAAAAATTGTCTACGTAAGATACTCAATTTCTGTTGATCGAATACCAACAACTTATTGTGGGGAAATACAGACCAGCTTCCAGCTGGGGAGGAAATTATGGCAAGATGCTGGATGGGGATGTGCATCTATTTCGGAAATCATCAAACTGTATCACAAGGCAAGTGCTAACTTGGTATCCTAAAGGGAAAAGGAAAAGCGGAAAACTAATGAACACGTGGCGTCGGGAACTGGAAGCAGACGTGAAAAGAATGAATAGCAACTGGAAACGACTGACCAGAATAGAGATGGATAGAAAATGCTTGCCAGAAGCCTATGCTGCCCCACGAGAAGTAACAGGAGAAGGTAAGTATAAAATTGAACGCTACATTCGTTAAACACGCTTCTCCTCACACTCCCTCAGCACCCAAGATTCCTTTGGGCTGGGTGCGAATCGCCCAATATTTCAAGAAAAAGCTGGTTATGATTTAATTTTCAAAATTAATGAGAGGGGATACAAGTGTTTCTTCTAGCATTCCCCTTTGTATTGTTAACTCGATCTTTCGATTTTTAAGGGGATGAAACAAGGGTTTAGCCTTTTAGTCATAAAGAGCAGAACTTCAAGAGGCTAACAATTAGCCATTTCTGCTCAAGTTTTACTTCAACACAACATCGACATCGTCTGACAGTTGGAGTCGCGCGGAAGACTTAAATGGGACTGGTGTAACGGTATTAAAGTTACTAATGCGGGTTTGTTTTCCTTGTTGCAGGGCAGAAAAGAATAAACGTACTGAAAGAAGAGGAACAGGTCCTGCGCAAGCTGGACCTGCAGAACAATGAATAAATCCATTTTGTAATAAGTTTCCCTTTTTGTACTCGAACCGCGTCTTTCAATTTTTAAATATATATCTGTTGTGCCAGTACGTCGCGTTCTTACTTCAGTGGCGTTTACCGGTCCTGACTGTTGTGTTGTGTTCTAGATCTCTATTGCTTCCAAGTGAACGCTAATAGTACGTGCTACACTGGTGAGATACTGACGACATTGACGTGAAAATTATTGGATAATTGTTTGGATTGATACATTTGGTTGAGCAGTTGCAAGTAGTTAGGAGCTAATTGAGCTGAGATTATATACACGCATCTCAGCGGGGTTTACTCCAGCGGCAATTAATTGCTGTTCCAGGCAACTGATTGAGTTGCTCATTACAGCTGTCATTAGGTTTGTTCAGTGTGGAGCGTAATTTTTGTTTAAAAGTCGTCGATTAGTTGGTTGGTTAGATCACTGATATTGATTGTGATTACCCCAAAACTTGGAAATTTCGGTGATTTGATCAAAGTTATTCTACTTCACGTTTTCATGTTTCCTATCTTTGGTTTTAATAACTAAAGTTCGTGGTTGTGATAAGTGTGTCCAGTTTGGTTGTTGGGTATAATGCGACTTTATTAAACTGGATTTGTTTGAACTGTAACATGTCATAGCTCAAATCATTACCCACTAAATCTGTAGTGTCATACGACTTTGTCATACTTTGGATGTTATCTCTGATCCAAATGTCACTCCTAGATAGCCTGCGTTGTTTGATTGTATGTTCTTTGTAACGAGTTTGTACAAGTCTATATTTGTCTTGATGTCAGGTGATGGTCCAAAGTCTTTACACGAGTTTGTCCACCGAACCAATTGTTCATTCGAATATATTCTGACGATAGTCCTAGTGAACTTTATTGGTACTTCGGTACTACGTAAATAAGAAATTCAACAAAATATCCATGTATATATATATATATATATATATATATATATATCAAGTTTTTGAAATCATTGTGAGCACTACCATGTGAAAGAATTATAAAGCAATTAGTCCGTCTGATAAATTTCGATAATGTAATAAGATGAAGATTATCAGAATTAGGTGATATATTGGCGCAATACATTTCGAACAGTCTGACCATGTAGGGAAAGGCGACGGTCAATGGCAGTGTCTTGAATCATCCGTCACAGTTATTTGCCATTTCTCGTTAAAAAGTTTCAGTAATGGATGCAGACTACACTTTTACTATATTACATATGTAATATAGTAAAAGCTTATAGGATATCCTATAAACTTCCCCTTATCTATAGTTTGGTGTTTTTCATTATTACTTGTAGTCTAATTAAATTTAATACTTATGGTGAACCGATGAAAACCAGCTTCTTAGCGCCAGCGAAAGTTTTTGGCTGTCGTTTACTACGGTTGTCTAGTTAAATTCGTGCCACGGTCTGCGTTTATTTCAAGTGAAGTCTGTGTTCATTGATTATAAGGTTTTAAAGTTCGATAATTTAAACACGTTTAAAGTACTTGACAGGTTCAGAATCTAGGTAGTTGGTTTTGGAGATCAAATTAGTTAAGTTTGTTTTTATCAGACTTATGGGTTGCAGCACCATGAAAAACTTAAGAACAAATGACTTTCGCTTCAGTCGGTTACTCTTTAGGGGCGTCCACTGGTTATTCTACCAGGAATTAGGACTAGTACCTTCAGGTGTTGAAGCGAGCTTATTTTCTTTACACCACTGGGTTGGAATTCTGTGGTTTATATTTCGGAATTATATCAGCTTTAGGTGTAGCACGTTAATGATGCCTTTTGCACTTGCTTAATGAAGACCAGTCACGACTTCTGACTAGACTTTCGAGAATTCGCCGAAGTTGGTCACTAATGCGCACACCATTATTGTTTAGTCCTAACCGGCGAGATTGTGACATAACTTTTGAGTTCAAACACAGCTTTGCGTGTATCATATTGAGAATATAACAGATATCTTCATCTGATTAAATGCAATTCCAAACCCAGTACATAAGCATTTACTTAATTGCTGTATTTGACTATATTTTCAAGTTTAGATATACAAAAGCAAGAGTCTGAGTTGGCATTTATTTTTAAACCTTAACTTTTGCAAACTGGAAATTTTAATCTTAGTTAACCTTGTATAATCAATCCTTTAACATTTTGTGTTTACACAGTCTTATTCAGATCCATTAAATGTATAATGGGGGATCAACTACTTTTCGAAAATCTTGACGAGAAGCTAGAAGATGAAGATGGATTTGTATGCGTACTGATATGCACCAGATAACTTTTATTTTCTAGATTACTGCAAGTTGGTTATCTATCACTTTCGACTTGAATATAGATGCATCGAGACGGTAATCTATCTGGTTCTCAATAGATATATATATATATATATGTACGCATATTCGTTTAGTTTGATGGCGGCATATATCCAGGCACGTGACAACTTGGCATCTGTATATCTACTGACTGGGATCAGTAAACAAAATGATATATTAGTTAAGTTGGCCAATTCAGACCAGTTATCACTGGCTCAGAAGTCGTTCTCGTTTCCACCTAAATGTGTTGTGTATAGTATACAACGCCGACAATGCAAGGTGTTTCTGTTGACAAGTAAATTAATAAGTAACTTTTAGGATTCTTTATCATTGGCTTGCTACGATTTACTGCATAATATTTCTACAAATCAATTAAAAAGGTTAGTTCACTTCTTTGAGACTGTTCAAATCTATAATACTTACACTCGTGTATATTTTATGTACTGCTTTGTAACTGATTCTCTTTAGATTAACTAGTATTCCGTGGGAGTCATCTTCTGATCCACTGCCATGTCGAGAAAATCAAGAGACTGCACAAAAAACACCGGAACATGTTGATTCTCCTGTGTTACCGAGTCTTGCTACCAGTAAGTTACTGGAATTGCTCAACAAAATTAGGTGGATGCAATAAGAAAATTAAAACTTCAGATTTCAAAAACTTTTTCAGTAAGATTGAAAAGTCTGTCCAGGATGGTTAGTTAACTATTTGTTATATACTCATTTCTGTAGATAAAACGCTTGAAAATTATTTAGCAACAAGCACAAAGAATAACATGTACATCATTATAAGTTTTCTTACTCTGTCCGTAATATTATTTTAGGATTCCTAAGCCAGTAGAAAGTGGGAAACTGGATGTATCGGACGAAGACGAAGAATTTGGTTTGAAAACCACATGTAACACCTCACCCAACCATACTTTTTATGCGTATTTTTAGATTCTTCGCAAAAGCGAAAATGTATTGTCATTGAATCCGATGAAGAAAAAGAAGAAAGTAGTACAGTGACTAAGGATTGCGTGTCTACTAATTTATTTAATTCTAAGGCAAGTACGAAACTTAGAAACAATGATATACAGAAAAAGCGACCTACTCGCAGAAAAGGTAATCAGATTTTTTTATGGTAATTGGAGTTATTTAAACTTTTCTGTTGAGTATTCGACGTGTACTTCTGGCAGACGGTTTTTAAACATTTATGGGGGAGAGATACAATTTACGTATATTGTTGTCGCTTTTGAGCATCGTTTACGCGTATGAAGCAGTAGTATAACTAAACTGTCTCACAGAATGTACTTTTCGAAGGTGGAATCTGCGCTCAATATATTATGGATTAGTATTGAGTTGGAAGTCTTAAGATGGAGTGGTTCAGACATGTTATTACTTAAAGATATTAGATTTTTATTTGAGTTGTTTAGGGGGTTATAACCCTTGTGAGCATGGTTTAAAAAGTAGTAAAATCAGTAATTAATGAATTTTTGTTATTTAAATGGACCCACTAGAATTGAACTGAGTGACGAGAAAGCCGAAATTAGATTCCAGGAACAACCGCAGTCACACTAAGGCAGCTTCGTTTTTAACGAAGCTGACCTAGATGTTGCTTGAAAAGATATACAGACAGCTGTGGAAATCGGAGTGACATCTATTAGTGATTTAAACCACAGGGTTACAAAGAACCAATGGATTTCTTCAAGGTCTATTGCACTGATGGATTCTCGTAAACTCATCCCATCAGGCTCTGAACACGATGAAGAGCGAAAACAAATCCGATCTAGGTTAACCAAATGTCTAAGGAACGACCATGAGAAGTAGTAGGCAACGAAAGCAAAAGAGATGGAAAAGCAGCGACTGTAGGTAACACCAGACAGCTTTTCAGACTAATAAAGGAAACTGTAATAAAGAAGTCAAGTGTAAGTGAGACTATCTCGGGAAAAGATGACACCTGTCTACTCTCAGTCCAGACGTTTAGAAAGATGGGCGGAACATTTTAGTGAGCAGTTCAGCTGACCTTCAGCTGCTCTACAACTACCCACCACTTCCAAACAGCCTGAATGGAACATTGGAGTAGGCCTCCCCGTCTCTAATTCCAATTCGAAAAGCTATAGCTTATCTGAAACGATGAAGAGCAGCTGGTCCAGATGGATTGGCTCCGGAGGTCTTTAAGTATGGTGGTTCAGTTTTAGTGATTAGGTTGGCTAATATTTTAGCTAAAATCTGGGAACTGAATGTAATCTCAACTGATTGTTCGCAATCACTGATTGTCCCAATATATAAGAAGGGATCAGAATCATCCTGTAACAACCACAGAGGGATTAGTTTGACTAATACAGCATCTAAAATGCCAGCCTCAATAATTATCGGACGCCTAACAAAGACTCGTGAACTGCAAACACGATAAAATCAGGTTAGCTTCAGACCTGTTCGAGGCTGCATCGACCACATATTCACTATTCATCATATTTTAAACACAAACATATTGGCGTCCGACAATGATAGTTTTTCTTGACTTAAAAGCAGCAGTGGACTCTGTTGGCCGAGAGGTCCTGTGGCAGTGTCTGTCATTGAAAAGCATACCTCAGAAGTACATAAACCTTGTGAAGGTTCTTTACTCGAACATTACTAGTCTAGTCAGAGCCTATGGCGAACTGTCATCTGATTTTGTTACCTCAAGTGGTGTCCGGCAAAACTGTCCATTATCTGGATTTTTGTTCAATTTCATCATAAACCAACTGCTGGAAATAACTTTGTCGTCGAGTAAATTCTGGATGCGTTTCCCACCACTTAAATGCAAGTTGTTGCTTCAGGACTAGTCTGCATCAACACCTGGACTAAGGATAGGGAGTGAAGTAGTCGAACGCGTCGACAACTCTACTCATTTAGGAAGTCTGATCAGCCCAAATGGGTTGGTGTCTGAGGAAATCTCCACACGGGTTCACAAACCTTGTTTGGCTTTTGCCAACTTACGTCACTTATGGCGAAGGCGAGATATCTATCTATCAATTAAGGGACGAGTATACTTTTCAGCAGTTCGTTCTGTTCTACTTTACGTCTGCTAAACGTGGCCATTAGGAGTAGAGGATACTCGTAAGTTACTAGTATTTAATGACCAATGTCTTAGAAATATTGCTTGCATCTACTGGGATCACCGGGTAAGTAATAGTGATGTTAGACGCAGGGTATTAGGGAATGATGGTAGATCAGTTGATGAGGTTGTGAATCTTCATCGAATGAGATGGTTGGGCCACGTGTTACGTATGCCTGAACACCGATTACCACGTCGAGCAATGCTGACTTGTGTTGGAGACGAATGGAAGGAAGTTAGGGGTGGCCAAACCAAAACGTGGCATCAGTGTTTGAAGTCACTAACTTCTGGTCTAGGCCATGCTGATAGATGCGGACTACTTGGTTGGGATTGGTGTGACTATTGCAACCAATGGTTGAATGCTCTGGGTGATATGGCTCAGAATCGATCACAATGGCTTAGGTGTATATACTCTTTGTTTCCTCTTAAACCGTGAGACCGAAATCGCCACATATTTCTCTTTCTACGAACCATTTCCTTCTTCCTTATATGACATTTTTTTTACTACCATTGAAGTAACTGCTTCTATGAATTTGGTGTTCATCTTGTTGTGCAAATGAGGTATGGTGACTTGGATCGATGCATATATGTGCCTGATCCTACATTGTAGATGACTGTTATTATTTGTTAATAACATGTAACTAGGGTGCCCGAATCGTACTGTTTAAATAAGTTAATAGGAATATATAATACAATCTATGAATAAATACGGAGAAGCATTATTGTATAAAGGATATAGTTCAGTTAAAAATATAGTCAAAACGGATTTTTCTCAGTTAAAGAAGTTCATTTCACTTTTTGTGACAGAAAACTAAAACAATTGTCACTGGCTTATGTCCTGATTCATATCTGACAAAGTGTCAAGCTGCTAAGTTGCATCGTATCTAGGACCACAAGTGAGATGTTGTGATATACCAACATATGACAGTCTTATATAGTTATATTTCATACCACAGTGCCATGTCATAAACTAACCCTTCCTTTTTTCCACCGAGTCGCAGCGTCAGGAATTAATGCTCCATGTGAAAGCCGTTGGGTTCGCATGAAGTATGTCCAAGCTGCCGGAGTCAGGGTTCCAGAATGATGAAATTAACTTGTCACCACTGCATCCGAACACACCCTGGCCGAAGCACGGAGTAACTGAATATATGAGCGCAATCCTTTTGCTGGGATAATGGTCGGTTACACAGTCGCCAAATATTTCAATATAAACAATAATTCTTCAGTATCATGGCTTTGATGCATAGTAGAGTATATAGACGTTTATAATCTGACATTATATGTTTTTAGTTCAAAGGTATTTGTTTTCATTCACATTTTCAGATAAACTGAAAGTATTAGCTTCTGATTCAGAAGCTGATTCATTTCTCATGGAGCCTACACAATCTGAAAAATCACCCGACAATGTTAAAAAAATCGGTGTTAAAACTTTGTCAACACCGATTAAGTGTGAAGAAAATTCAAGAACTGAGAAATCTAGCTGTGCCGCTGGTTTAAATCGTATTCGTCACCAAGTAATGAAAACGTTTGCAGATGAAGATGGCTTTATGGGTAAAGTAAACTTTTCCGAAACTATTGTTAATAGTGGACAATTATGTGGTTGATTTTACCACTAAAGTTTATGATTATTTAGTTTTTATTGTTATATCATCATACTGCATCAGTATTAAAAAGAGTTCTTACAATAATGCTTTACAAGTGTGATATATATATTTTAGTTACGGAAAAAGGCTGGGAATGTTCATCAGATGATGAAACCTCTAAACCGACAACAGCACCCTCTCCTTGTATGGATCAAAATGAGAAAAATGAACGGGTTGTTCAACCGAAAATTGATAATCCTGTCTCTCTAACTGCACCACCAACGATTCAACAGACTGTAAGTAGGAATTATGGTCACTCTTTTTTTATTAACCTATCACTTTCAAAAGAAAATTATTCAGTAATATTACATAAGATTTTTTGACCTTACTACAGCATTAGGTGATTTACTTCATTACTATGTCATTGGGAAAAGCATCAAACTTTCCGATTATTATGATATATGGCTTCTATTAACAAATTAATATCTGAACAAGTGGGTTAAAAACGTATCTATTAAAAGTAGACAGTACTGGAAGAAAACAGGTGTCTGCTTTGTTCATCTCCTTAAAGCCGTAGTGAAACTCCTAGATAACCAAAGCTAGGTTTACACTTTTAGGTAATGCTAATAACTTAGTTTTCAAACACTCAGAATAAAATTCCTTAGCCATGGTGGATGTCTTGAAACTGCGAATCTCCAGGAAAAACAGTTAACCTTCACATTTTTGGTTTCTCGTCATTGAAAAGTGTGATGTCGTTTGTAGCTTATTACGCTTTTGGCTCTCCGGCAGTATCCCAAACGCTCACATAAATCGAATGCCGGATTTTAGTGCCTCCTTGTACCAAATAAAGTTGCTGATTACATGCACTTTTATGCATTTATTAATCGAAGGTAAGTAACATGGTTATCTATGATACCGATGGTTGAAAATACTCAAACAAGAATATTCTGAGTACTTACACTTGCATGTACTGTTCATCAAACTACGAACTTATTTAATTCTGGTCTGGGAATTTTAATTTGAAGTGTAGGTCTTCTAATAAGGGCCTTTCCGTATTACTTAGAAAATATAAACTAGTCATGAAGGATTTAAAGTCTCATTTTTAAACTTCTTAAGAATAAAAAGGGAATAGCGCACAGCCAAGCGTTTTGTTGTGGTGGCTGTAAGATTAGATTTATGGTCATTATGATAACAGTTTACTAGTGTACGGCACACAATTTAACGGCAGTATATTGCTGTTTTTACATTGATAATGTCTAGGAAACAAGCCTTTGTTATTTTTTAAATATCATATTGGGAAATATTTTGTTCAACTTGAACAGTTAGTGTGAATGAAGCTTTCAGTATTTTGGTATATTATTTCTACAGAAAATCCGCAACAACAGTTGTTAAACTCTATTATTCCCATCTGAGGCTGTGAATCGACACATGAATGTGTAAATGTTTTTAACGAATACCAAAATTCTGGTTAAGTTTTCATGAGCTTTGGTTCCATTTCAAGTAAAATATGGTGAATTCTGCTCAAATAATTCATACTACTTATAAGTAGCTAAGATTATCCACAACATGTTTCACAGTTCTTCATATTGTTTATTAATGTTGCTTCCATAGGTATGATATTCCAATTTTTAATGTTTTAATTCACTTTACTTTTACAGAAGCCACCCAAACAATCAAACAAAAAGAACACGAATAATAAGCCGGCAGCTAGTAAACAAGCTTCATTGTCATCATTTTTCAAGCCTAGTAATACTGCAAACTAATTACTTGGAGATTCAATTGTTAATTATTTTCTATGATTCTCTTATGGAATCTCTGTATAAAAACGATTTATTTAAAAAAAAATTAGAACATTTTCTGTGTATCGGACAATTAACTTCGTATTTATTTGGCGCAAAAGTTCAAATGCGGGTTGGTTGTGTGACTGAGTGATGCCTGTACACGAGACTGAATTATTAGCTCAACCCCTCGAATGAACTAATATCAAAGACAAAATCATCAGTCGGGAAAATAGGTTTTTATATGTAATAAAACAACATGCTTTTATACAAACTGCTGAAGATAAAAACAAGTATGATTAGAAATCATTTTGAAGATGATCGATTAGAAGATACTGATTTTGTAGATTACTTGGGCGCCATTAAAATTAAGATTAGAATGTCAATACAAACGGGATCGATAGTTACTCACCAGTATAATGTTCATTTTGCAATACTTATCTTTGCCTTGGTAATTCTGTAGTAATCATTCGATACTGGACATATATAAACCCATAGTTTATATCACCAACCATTCTTTATATCACATGTTAACGATTTTTCTACTTCATACTGAGCTTTATACAATTATTAATTAAAAAATGCAAAACAAAACAACCCTCTCTTTAATAACAGCAGTTTACTGAAGTACTAAATAAGTATATCTAAAAATAGTATGTTTTTAGCAAACTATGCATCAGATTAATCATCAACTGTCTATCAATTATATATTCATCAGTATTGATCAAAATAATTTGAAATGACCGCTAGACTTTGAATTGTCACTCTTTATGTTAGCTATAGCTGAGGATAATACATACTCGTAAAGAAGCAGTGTACATGGAACCTGGAAAAAATTCGTGGACTCAAGTTGACCAGCACAGCAGCCAAATAATTAACTGCTGTCGAATTGATTATCTTATTGGCGAAACACACAAGTTTACAAAATTAGCAGTAGCACTAGTATTCCATGAATAAAATAAGACAATAGGCATTTTATCAACAAATTACAAACAACTGTGTGATTGTAACTCTAGGTACATATTTCTTTATTAATGGCTGTATCGTGTTTATTAATGTAAAATAATGGTCAATATTTCAGTCCGACTATTTGGCTAATAACAAACATTTATTCACCGTGACTAACTATTTCTTAAAGGGATTTATTTGTATACATAGCGCTGAGTCTCATTTTCATCAATTTGCTAAGGACCTGGTATGTTTATGACAGCTAATAAATTCAGGAAAGGACCATGTACCTAGTACGCTGCCCCACAGTAGTCAACTGATAGAATCATAAATCAGTTGAAAACTTTATCACTGTTCAGGGATAATATTGTGAAATAAGCTGCCAACATTAGTATAATTAACACTTTTGGTATTTGATAAATTTGCGGTTCTTTTTACACCTTCAATGTTTTCATAATTAACTTAATAATCATCCCCGTCAATGTAATAATAAGGTTATCTATAGTGTGCTAAGCTTCAGATTTGAATGAGATCGTATTTAAAATAATTGTACCAAAGACTTAGCATATCAGTAAGAATATGGCTTGTTTTGATTAAACTCGAGACTATCTCCTATCTAACTTGAAATATCAATTAATAAGAAAAAGTTCATCGAAATTTCTAAATTAAGAATTTTTTCTCATAAAAGTTGTACAGGAAATATATTTATGTATTTTGACAATATGATATTCAAAATACACAATAGTTTATAAATATACAATTGATTATGTTCTTAATCCAATATCAATAAAAATAAATGAAAGTAAAACAAACAGCGATTCTTTACTATTGAACAGTGAACAAATAAGTAAGATATGTTATTATCTCCTTGATGGTAAGCATATAGGTTATAATGAATAAACAAAGGAAATGTGGAATCACGATATTTAATAATCACATTAACATAAAAGATGCACTGCTAGATGTGTTTCGACGTAGCTTACAACTCCATAAGGGATTTTAACCAGAACAACGAACTACACATTTGGCAGAAAATTGAAAGTGAGTGTAAAGAGGAACGGGGTTAGGAAAGGTGATGAGAATAGAAAAAAACAGAACAATTATTTTAAAAATGCGCGATCATGAAAGACAAATGGCGAAATATTGAACAAATTTTTCTTCGGGCAGAGGAGAATTTATTTAGTTATTGATTGATAGGATCAATTGATGGCAAAAATAAATGGCGCAGTGACAAAAAACATGTGGCAAAATTATTCACGATGGCAATATGCATTTGAGCACATTCGATAATGAAAAATAACAATAAACTGATGAAAAACAATCAGCTTTTTTTTAGAAATAAACAATTGTTAATAAATGTTCATGACCATAATTCAACAGTACAATGTTTATTAGAGCTTTTACTTGTTAATTTATAGTGTTTAGCATATTCAATTGTAGTCCTGTTAGGCTGTGGATTGTGATTTTTACCATGATAATTTGTGTTATTGTTAGTTTTTATATATGCTGCTGACGATGATGATGGTGAACTGTTTAAACTATTACTATAGTTACTACTATTGTTGTCATTATTATTCTCATTATGAATAGTTGGTGTACAAATAAATTCTAATAATTCATAATGTTTATTATTTGATAAATGAAAGGAGGAATAATTTATCGATTCATAAAAGTTGAAATTTTTTGGTAGAGTTACATCTGTGGGAAATGAAAACGGGAGAAAAGAGTAAATTAAAGAAACAAAATGTTATAGTTTTGCATTTATCGACTATTCATTAGATAGTAACTGTTCAGTAATGAAGATGAAAATCCAGTCACTAATTTTAAGAGATACAATATAGTGTTACATTGCTATTAGAGTGTAACGATTGTTAGTTGTAATCCGACAGGTTATTTATGAGAGTAGACTCTATACTTTTTAAAACATATCAAAAAGACATCTTTAGGACCAGGGATGCGTATACCCTTTGATACATTGAATATTTTCAGATTCGAAAGAGCTGCTAAGCGTAAAATTTAGATCACAGACGTTTTATCCTCCAGTTTTAAGCATTATACAACCAGAGCAGTTTAATAAGAATGCAGATACTTGATGATTATTTATAAATACACATCAAACTAATAAAGTCAGTAGAAAATAATGATACTGTACAGAGAATATAGGTAGGTTAAAATACAAAGAGTGGACAATTTTCTACACAATTTATACCTACCACTAACTTTTCGACTGTCTCAGTAAAAATAGGTCAAAAATTAACAGACGATCAGTATAAGGGTTTTGTGGAGACTTTTGAATGTTACTGATATCACAAACCGACCATCCATTAAAAACATGAGGCACTGGGCAGTAAGTAACCAAGAGACTCCTCAGTGGTGTGTATACACGACCTCGTCACAGGAGGTCAAAGCCACGGTCTTCAGGACTTGTGGCGAGCGCTTAATCTCTAACCTACTTCACCGGGATTTGGTGGTGTACATGTCTAACTTCAACCAGTTCGTGATACTGCGCGACCATCTTTTATAATCTTAGGAGGGAAATTGCCCCACGTGATATAGTTAAAATTCATTGGTCACCAAAACTGGATATTACTCTTAAAATCGGTCACAAGTAAGCACATGATAATTATCAGTATAGAGGCTTCAGAAGATATTGAATGTTACTGATTCCCAGAGTTCTAGTGAGAAGCCGTGATCAGGGGAATCCAACAATTTCGAGTATGAGGCCGTCACACTCCGAAGATAATGGAAGATAGTTGCTCAATGTTGCAATATGATTTAAGTCAGAAATGTACATTATATGATGATTGCTCAGTGGTCTGCAAATTAAGCGCTCGCCTCAAGATCTGAAAAACTCAAGTCCAATCGTTTATAGTAGGATTGTGTGTGTTTTATTTTATTTATTTTAGCGCATAGATATTGGTACAAGAAGGCATCAAATACATATGCGCCACACAAGTCTCACTTGATATGTGTGAGGGCTATGATACTGCCCGGGTGCCCAAACCGAAGCAGGTGGTTTTCTTAGGGGGCCACGCACGGAGCCTTCGACCTGAAGATCTGATCCATAAGGTAGTGGAGCATCGTAAGGAGATTCAGTCCCATGGTAGCCGGTGACCAACGATTGGTTCATACTTTATTTGTTCCTTCAGGATACTGGAGCCCATGTGCACCAGTGGTCTGGAATCAGGGTTTTCCAACTCCCCTAGGTGGACTCTTCATGTCCACCAAGACGGTTAAAGCGCCAGACATTCGCTTTTCATCCTTTCAATTTCGTAAACAACACCCCCGCCACGAGAAGGCAATGAGTGGGACTTCCCATGTGAGAGCATTTCGAGAGGGAGAGCGAACTCTCCCCACTCTCGACCGTACCAGGGCATTTGAGGGCAAAATTTTGGAGGTTGTGTGTGTACTATAACGAAACTACCATTCAGTGACGATATTATTAAAAAAGAACGAAAACACATAAAATTCTTGAAATATCACAAGAACCACTTACCTCGAGCATCTTTACGGACATGAATTAGATCATAATTATCAACCTTTTGATCGGCACAATCAAATAGTTTAAGGGCTTTCGATAGCACATCAGAAACACTATCCACAGGAGAAACCGACTATTAAGAAAATATATGTAAACGATATGGATTATGACGGGAATTTCGGATTACAAAAATAAGTGGATACCCATAGAGGATTTGACATTATTCTGAGAAACTGTTTATGAATAATGGAGACGGTGTTCCGCCGTAGGCTGATAATGCATGAATCCCTACAGAATGAAAATCAGATGAGGATGTTGCGGTCTGTTCACTGTGTAGGATTTTGTTTACTAGAAATATCAATTGCGATTTCAACATGAAAAAACACATTTTAGCAATGTGTTACTCACGACAATTATTCACCTGCTAACTTCTAACAAAATGTTTGGATGAGGGACATTGTTTAAAGTCACGAGTTGATAGCAGCTGGAGAACCATTTAAAAATGTAGTGCTCGTAGGCGGTTCTACCATAGCATGCGTGACCGTAACTAAAGAAGAGATTATACACAGGGCGAGGAAGATGATCTACATCACTGGTTAACTTTAGATAGACATTAAACGAAGTCGGGATAGACAACACTGGATGTGAACGTATTTTGGGATGGAATGGACTTGGAG